TGGACAAGGCACCAACCATTGGGGTGTGAAGTCCTGGGTGCTGGGAGGACAACGGAGAGCCCAAAAGTACCAGGAGGGAAATGGGACCCCTGGGCTTTTGGGGAAGGTTTTTCTGAGAGCTGCAAACCATGAAGTGTTAGACAGGGTCCCACCACCTCCTTTCCCTCCCCTGTGTGTACTATTCTGATCACCTTCTCTGGCAAGCCCCTACTGATTTCCATCACGGTTTCACTGAAGAGGCGCTTGGGTCTTTGCACATCCAAGTGAGACAGCCTCAGCCTTCTCTGCAGACTTTGCAGAGATGCATCAGATGTTCTGTTTTTTTCTCAGCAACCATCCAGAAATCCCTCAAAGGAGGTAATACAGCTGTCTCCCACCCAAGATGAACCTGCAAAAAAGTCAGACACTTCTTCAACTCAGGTCACCTACAGCAGCTCCATCAGACGAACCAGCCCAAGAACTGTCTCCTTTCGGGTAAGAGCCAAAGCAAGTGGGAGAAAGACCCCCATTTAGGCAGTGGAAGATGGTGACAGGGAAGGGTTGTTTTGGTCCCCATGTTATGTTGGCAGAGCCTGTTCCCAAAAGTGCAGTCAAAATCCACCCTTGATCTGGGCATTGTGATTCTGCTTCAGTCTTTCCTCTATTTTCCTTCTCCATGTCTGTCTGAAGGCCTGTGATGATGAACATGCCCGTGTTCATATGCTTTGTACTGGCATGGAAACTTGTGGGAAGTGATGAGAAAACAGGGAGCTCATTGTCCTCAGATTTCCCAAGGAGTCACAGGAATGACTATGCACCCTCTGGCATTTCTAGTCTTCTCTAAGAGCACAGGACAAAAATAAAATCCGTCCTCCTTCTTGTCCCTTGTTACATCCCTGAGAATATCTTCAATTTTAGCCCCCCCCAAAAGATCTCTGGAATAAAGCGCTTGGAGAGGCTGGGAAAACCAAGAGCTGTTGAGATCCTCCCTGCAGTGATTCAGGGCTGACTGGCTAGGCTTAATTGACTTTCACGGTGCTTTATTTGGAATAAAACTGTTAACACTACAAAATGTCTTTAGTCTGGAGAGGTATGAGATAAGTGCTGGTGTGGGTGAAAATGGAGCTTGCTTGAAAATGGGGGAGACGAGTCTGAGACAGTTTCTCCCATGTTTATCTTTGATAACCAAAGATGGCTCCAGTATGTCCTCTCCTTGTGTCTTCCAGATGATTTCAAGAAAACAGAAAGAAGAAAGCCAAAGCCCTCTCACAAGGAGGTCAGCACCTCTCTTCATGTTACTTTCGTCTTGCTGGGCAGGAATTGTCATCCTTTGTTTTCTAAGGGAGGAGGAGGAGATGATGGGACCTGGTATCAGCTAGTGAGTGCCCTGGCACAGGTCTGCTGAACATTGGTCCCTGGGGTGTCTGGCTGACCGGGCAGTGATGCTTAGCAGAGGACAGGACAATGTCCAACGTACAGGTCGCATCTGTACAAGATCCCCCCAGCTAGCCCCTGCTGTCTCTTGGCTGATGTAGTTTCTCATCGGTGCTTGTGTCTGCACAAGAGTGATTAAGCATTGAGTGGTGCAGCACCACAACAGGGTCCCATCCTTGGAGATATCAAAACACACTATACAGGTCCATGAGCAACCTGATCTGGCTTTGGTGGCCAGATCAAGTGATCCTCCACATCTCCATGGCAAGGTTTGGACAGGTGGCTTAAAACCTCTTGAGGAACTGAGGGCTCAGGTCTGAATGCAGGGAGTCGCTGGGATGCCCTCTCCCACCTCTGAGTGCAGGGCAGAGGAGTGGGGCTTTATGGGCACCTGGGCTCGCACCTGGGCATACTATAGGCAAGCTCATACTGATATTGGTGAAGATGCAGTTCAGACCTGGCAGTGGTGAAGGCAGGGTAAAGTGAGGAGTTCAGAGCTATTTTTCAATGTACAGTGTGGCCCTAGTAAGATGGAGAGACCGAGATCTCGGTCACCAGCAGGGAGTGAGCTGCCTTGGTTCACTTGGCAGACGGGTGCAGGAGAAGTGCCTGTGTTGGTTAGGATCTTCTCCTGCCAAGTGGAGTCCCCCAGGACCATGGGCTAAGTCCCAGGAGGTCCTGAGGGGGCTGTGTTCAACTCTCTCCCCTCTTCACCAGCGCGAGTCTGAGGATCCCAGGTAGCAGCACAACCATTGGGGAGAAGCTGGAAAAGTACAACTCGGCTGTGCAGGTACCAAAAACCCTTGCCATAGCTGGGTTGGCGTGGGAGGGATGTGTGGGAAGAGGGAGAGGGGTGGCCTGGAGCTGAACAAGGAAGAGAGAAAGGGACAGAGCTGCACCAAATAACCACCCCTAATGGGGTTGAAGAAGATTGTCCCAGGCAGAAAAAGGGACCAGCCTCAGGGTTTTAGGAGCAGGGAGGTGATATCCCTTGGAGAGGGTCATGCGGATGCTGCATGGCGATGGGATGAGCAGCGGGGCAAGCCCATGAGCTGGTGATGGGCAGGGAGGGAGCAGACCCCAATGGGCTCGGGACGCGAACCAGAAGCAGGACTTTGCTTTTTACCGCTTGGGGTGCAGCATGGCCCCTGCTGACGTCCCTCTCTCCTCCCAGCGCTCAGAGGTGGCAAAAACATCCCTGACTCTTCAGAAGAGCCTCTTGCTGTCCTCAGAGGGGGTGGCCAGCAAGCGCAACTTCTTCGAGGCAAGCATTCCCAGCAAGGCTGAGCCGCTTGCTGTCAGGAAGGTAAGGGCAGGAGCTGACCCGAGCGAGGACCTTCCAGCAGGGTCCTGTGCCAGGGCAAGCACCAGCTCTTCGGACAAATCTTCCCCTGTTTGGATGCCAACGCACTGCCCGGCAGGCTGCTGCCTGGATGCAGTTTGGTGGGAGTTTGGTGCTTGTTGAGTGGTGCCAGGCAGGGCTGGGCTCGGGCACCAACTGCCACCAAAACTGTGCTCTGGTGGTGTGTGGGTTCGTGCTGATGCGCTGGTATTTGAGGAGCTGGGATGGAGCCAAGGTGTAGGCTGGTCTCTGCCTGTTGCAGGTTTGCTCAGTCTCCCCGTGCCTTGGGGACTGTCCTGGGTTACATTCGTGCAGTGGGAGAGCTGGTGTTGTAACCCTGGTGTCCCTCTTTGTGCCACAGGACAACCTGAAGGTCCCAGGATCAGTGACATCCCGCATTAATCTGTGGATCAGCCGAGCTCAGGAGCCTGCCAAGGAGGAAAAGAGCAAGGTACTGGCTTGTGCCAACACCTTGGGCTAGAGCCCTGAGACCAGGCAGCCTGGCAGGACATGTCCCTGCATCTGGGGTGGTGGGGCTTGAAGGGCTGATGAACCCTTGGCTGAACCCATTAAAAGGTTTGAGAGGAGCTTAGCCAGGGTCAAAGGTTTGGGTGCTGCAGGGCCACCACGGTGAGATGTGGGGCTCTACTTGTTGCTGTGCCCTGATCTTGATCCCAAAGTGCTCAAGGCAGCTGCTGCCAGCCCTTGGTGGGGTGAGGAGGAAGCAGGCACCAGCTGGGTGCATGTCCCACGAGACATACAGGGGGACCCGACCCTGCCACCATGAGAGAGATCACCCCAGCATGATCCCATCTTTGCCAGTGTCTGGAGGACTAGCTCTGAGCTGGCAGCCACTGGGAGATGAGCCGTATGCTCGGTCCTTTGGCACTGGGCTCTGCAGGGCTTGGAGACCTGTGTGTGCACTGAGAGGTCCTGCTGCGTGTGGGGTCTGGAGTGATCTGCATCCCTGTGTGTATCCCAGCCCCCCAAAGCAGGACGTCTTGTAGCTGTGGGGGCAAGGTGCCCAGCTAAGGGGACTCAGAGCTCATCGCTTTGCCACTGTGGCTGCTGCAGGGATATGGATGCAAGGGAGACGGACAGGAGCGCCTTTGCTCAGGGTAGTTTCCTGTGCTTGGAAAGGAGAGGTTCAGCCGCTCCTGGAGAGGGATAACT